GATCACAGAGCGATTCTGTGGCTACTACTACTAACAATAACAACAACACTAACAGCTACCCTTTCTTGAATGTCTCCCCAGTATTACCTAATTTAATCCTCATAACAGTTTTAGGAGGTGATTTATTATAATTCCTATTCTTCAGATAAGGAAACAGGTTCAGAGAGGGTAAGTAACAAGCTGAGTGTCACACAGCTAGTAAGTGGGAAGAATGGTATTTAAGTCCAGGTCTTTCTGATACTAGAACTCTTGCCCATGGCTTCCACCATCCTGCCTCCCAAGTAATCAGACATGCATGCAAGCACCTCCCAGAGTGCCTGGCACATAATAGGTGCTCAATAAAAGTTGCCTTTCTTCCTTCAGTTAAAAAATATATACACTGAATGGAGGATGAAGCAGGACCCGTAGTGAACAAGGAGGTACAAAACCTTATCCCTGGCCTTGGTGACACTCTGTCCAGTCATAAGTTTTTAAACAATTTTTTAAATGCTATTTATGTGTAGACAGAGGGGAAAAGGGAGAGACTTCAATGTGCGAGAGAAATATCAATTGGTTGCCTTTAGCATGCCCCCACCTGGGAACTAGGCCTGCAACCCAGGCATGTGCCCCAACTGGGAATTGAACTGGTGACGCTTTGGTTTGCAGGCCCGCGCTCAACCCACTGAACCACACCAGCCAGAGTAGATGCCTGGGGATTTTCCAGCCAAGCATCTGGCAGGCCTGTTTCAGGCAAGATGTGAGAAGGGGGACAGTGCAGGTGCTCATCCAGGTGCCCAGCGCCTCGTGCGATGGTGTGATCATCCGGCACAGCCTTCCCAGGAGCTCTCCTTCCCAGGGGAGCAGACAGGAAAGCCAGGAGATGGCAGAGGGTCTGCCAAAGATTTGGGAGCTGAACTTGGCACCCTGAGGGACAGATACATGTGTGTCCTCTTCCCCAACCCTGAGCCCCCCAGCCTGTGACCCACATGCTGGTCTTTGGAATCTCTTCTTCGGAGGAAAAAAAAAACTGAGGCTGCCCCAGAGCTCATTTATGAGACAACCACAAAGCTACTTGGAGCAACTGTGCCCGGGAATCCCTATGACCCATCGTGTGTCACTCACAGGCCTCTCACCCGTCAGGAGGACACACCTGGAGGGTGGACCCGAGCTCAGCGTGGGAGCCCTCCCTTGGCCTCTGGTTCATCCACCCACCTCACAGGGGAAAACTGAAGACGCCAGAGACAGCAGTGGTGGGGACTAAGCACTTTCTTTTAATCAGCTGTAATCTGACCACACAATAAAGGTAAAGTCACCAAATCCTCTGGCTTCTGTTTTGGCATCATCCTAGCTGCAGAGGGTAGTCATGGAAACCAGCAGACACTCCCAGCTTTCAGAACGGAACCTGAACTTAACTCTGATGTGAGAGCCTTTTAAAAATAGAAACTGTCTTCAATCTGGACGACCGGGTCTCCAAGTTTTGCCTAGTTTGGAAATGTCCCCGAGTCTCTTCTCTGGCTGCACAGAACCTAATAATGCTCTGAGTATCGGTCCGGGCGAAGTCTAGAAGATGTTTTATTTGAGCTTTTTTCAGTCACCGGAGAAAGAAACCCAAGTAGCCCAGTGAGGTTGGGTGTAAAAAAAAAAAAATACGGTGTTGGAGGGGTATTTATGAGCTTACATTGGCGGGGAAGGACTAAAAGCTCAAAGATGATGTCAGGAGTCTCTCTCTGACTTGTGTTTCATGATTTTTTGTTGTTGTTTACCATTGCAATGTTTTCTGTTGACATTTTTTTGTTATTAAATCATTGATCTCTGAAGCACTGATGCCTCACTAGACTGAGGAGCCACTAGCTAGATGGGGGAGGAAAAAAAGAATGACACGCACACTCTCATCAATGTGCATGACTTCTACAATTCTATGGTCTTTTATCGCTTTCTTCTCAATTCTTACTTGCTTTTCCCTGACAAATCCAGGATGCTTTGCAGACAGACGTGGCCTTTTCTGTTTCCCACATGGGAATGTCCAGTGGCCAGGGAGCGCAGGAGAGGGCACTGCCCAGGACCCACGGCGCTCCGTCTGCACCAGGTGCCTGGCATCTGCGCAGCCCGGCTGTCGCTCCGCAGGGCCGGCCTCACCCTGACCTTCCTCTTCTGCCCTTTTGCCAATTCATCACTCTGAGCAGGAAGGAAGAGACCAGATGGACGCGGGCCACAGCCGATCCTAATGCACTTGTGCTTACGAGTCATCGCTTTCAACAGGAGGATATGGGGGTTGCTGTCCTGAAGGGGTAGTCAGACTGAGAAGATGGGTGCCCTCATCACGAGCGGCTGGTCTCGTGGTTTGGGAAGAAAAACGCAGAGAGGCCATCAGTTGCAGGGGAAGAGCGGTGGCAATCGAAAGCTGAGCCTAGGAACACACACAAAACTAGAAAGCCATCTTTCATCACAGAGGAGGACGTGAATAATTTAGTTTCAGCGAGGCATGGCCAGCACCCTTCCGTCTGGAACAAGGCTGGAATAAAGCTAGGTGACCCACGAGCTAAACAAAGTGGGTACGGCAGGCCCTGTCTCACAATCATGTTGTTAGCTGGTGCTCTCTGAAAACCGGGAGTCCAACTCAATTTTGCGAATGTGGATCTGGAGTGTGCTGGACACTAGGACACACAGCGCACAGGGGAAGCGTTAAATCAAGGTTTTTCATTGCATTCTAAGCTTGGATTACATTCTTATTTTTGTGAAAGAGTAAAGACATTTTTTTAAAAAAAGATTTTATTTATTTTTAGAGAGGGGAAGGGAGGGAGAAAGAGAAGGAGAGAAACATCGATGTGTGGTTGCCTCTTGTGTGCCCCCTACTGGGGACCTGGCCTGCAACCCAGGCATGTGCTCTGACTGGGATTTGAACCTGTGACCCTTTGGTTTGCAGGCCAGTGCTCAATCCCCTGAGCCACACCAGCCAGGGCAGTAAAAGCATTTTTAAATGCCAGAGACACACAGTTTTAAGTACCACAAATGTCAACAAGTTCTGGCCACATCCTTCCTCTTTGCAGATGTGTCGGCAGTCTTGAAGGTAAATCTTGGGTTTACAAACCCAGGACAGGGCAGCTGCTTAGGAACTGCAGAAAGGGGAGCCGCACTGCTCCCCAGAGCTCCTTGTGTGTCTAATCCCTGCTGCTTTTCTCATCCCCCAGCCCAGCTCCACTGGCCCTCAGCAATCCGTGCCCAAGACCGCCAGATTTAGCAGGAAAAATATAGGATACCCAGTTCAATGTGGACTTCAGGTAAACATCAAGTACTGTTTTTTAGTGTATGTCTCACACAATAACCAGGCATGCTGTATTTTATTTGGTTCTTAGGCATCAAGGGTGTGTCCAGGGTCCATCAGGGAAGCCCTCTGCCTCCCTCCTGGGGCCGCCCAGGGCCCCTGGCAGAAGCACAAGATGCTACACACCGACTGCCCCGTGTCTGTGTTTTGCGGATATGAGTGGCTTCTGCTGTCTTTTCCGTACGTAGGACCCAGAGTAGCAGCGATGCAGGTGACACAGTGGCAGGTAACAGAGGAGCAGTAAGAGGGCAGGACAGCAAACCCAGCAGAAGTAGCCTGTAACTATGGTCAGCTTCTTGCTTGGAAGTGGAAACCCTTTCACCATCTCTGCTGATCTTGACCTTCAGAGGGTCGCCGAAACTCCTCGGATCCCAGCTTCGCTTCTGACACAGCAGAGCCACCTAGACAGGGTCTACGCTGACTTCCCAGTGAGTCTAACAGGACGCAGTTAAACAGCCAGACCATGTTTGCACAAGGTCTGTCGTGTGGCTCCTGACCTGCAGGGACAGGCCCTCGCCTGCGTCCCCTGTATGAGGAACCACGGGTGGCGGTCCAGTCCCTTCCGCAAGCAGGGGCTTTGGGCCCCGTGGGTGGGGGAGTGTATCCTACCTCTTACCTTCACCAGCAGCTTCAGAGAGCTCCCATCCGACCTAATCCAACTATTTATTACTGGTCGACTCACCAAATACGGGCACCTGAGTTGTCTTTTCTCAGCGATGGAAGTAGAATGCTTTTGGGTAATCAAAGAACCAGCAGATTTTAAAGTTTCAAGGTGTCTAAGAAATTACGTAGACGAGAAAACGGAAGTGTCAAGATGGGGCTGAGCTGCTGGCTCACGTGACCTCGCCCATGGCAGGGACTGCCTCTCCTCCGTGACTGGCTCCGCTGAGCTGCCCAACTGTCCTACCTCCGCAGTCTCCCCTCCAGGGCCGGCCACACCACTCCTCCCATCCCAGTGATTTTGTTTTCCCAATCAAGAAAAAAATGAAAAGGGGGGGGTGGTAAGCAAACTGACTATATTTATAGTCGCTTGTAGGCCAAATTCCTCTCCAGACCAGCTTAGGCAAGGATTTTTGTTTTTCTTCTTCTTTGCTTGGTTTGTTCAGATCTTACCAACCCCCAACCTGGTGCTTGGAAAACAAGAACCAGCCATTTATGGGCTGCCGTCACTCCAGTGAGTGAGTCACTCCAGTGAGTGATGTGAGTCTGCTCAGCTCCCCAAGTGCATCTCTCCTCCCTGACCCTTGGTCCGAGGCAATCACAAAAGCAATAAACATCACAAAACCTCACTTTTGGCCAATGCATTCCGGCCAGAAGGAGATCGGGTTGTCCTTATAGAGTACCTATAATTAGATTGGGTTTGGAATTTGGATGGCTGCATTGAGTGAAAAAAAAAAAAAAAAGCACAGATTTAAATCACTGTCTCAACATTTCAGAAGGATCTGGAGGGTTGAGAAAGCTGTGAACAAAATCAGGACTGAAATCGAGGCATTTTGAACCAAGTTACCTTATTGCAACACTCAGTCCGGTAGCTGGCTGAGTAGTTGCCACGTATAAGTGAGGGGCTTGGAGGCCAGCACTTTTTTCTAACAAATTAAGTAACAACAGTGAACAAGAATAAAGGAGTGGGATACACATTAGGGATTCCCTTCCCCCTCTTAATCCCTTGAGATATCATGAAGCTACAAGCTGAACGTACTCTTTTTTAAAATAACAATTTTATTGAGGTATAATTTCTGTACACAACTGCGTCTAAATAAAGTGCACAGCTCAACGCATTTTGAAAATGTATTTCCCATGACATGACAACGGCAATCGAGGTCCATTTCTGTCCACCCCAAAAGGTGCCCGTGACCGTCCTCCCGCCGACCTTTGCCCCTCAGGGGATCACTGGCCTGTTTCAGTCACCATGAATGAGTTGGTCTTTTCTAACATTTTATAAAAAATGGAAACATACAATATGTACCCTTTTGTTTCTGGTTTCTCTTACACAGAATGATTAATTCATGTCACTTGTGTATCCACAGTTTGTTCTTTTTTATTGAATAAACATTTATTCAAATAATGAGGGGAGTCGGGTGTTTCCTTTTTTTTTTTTTTTTTTTACTATTATGGATAAAGCTAGGTGTGGAGTTTCTGGGTCATGCAGTAGATGCGAATTTAAATTTCTAGGAAACTGCCAAGCTGTTCTCCAGAGCGCTTGCACCATCTCACACTCTCACTGGGTGTGCATGAGTTTCGTTGCTCCACATCTTCACCAGCACTTGGTAGTGTCGGTGGTTTTGCCTACGTGCACACTTATGTGATAAAATATGTGTGACATAAAAGTTACCATTTTAACCATTAAAAAAAGATTTTACTTACTTGTTTTTAGAGAGAGAAGGGAGGAAGAGAGGGAGAGAAACATCGATGTGAGAAAGAAACGTGTATTTGTTGCCTTTCATACGCATGCTGTTCGGGGACCGAACCCCCAGCCCAGGCATGTGCCCTGACCAGGAATCGAACCAGCAACCTTTCGCTTTGTGGGATGTTCGACCAACTGAGCCACACCAGTCAGGGCAACCATTGTTAAGTATACAATTTAGTGGTATTAAGTACATTCACAATGTTGTGTAACTAACACCATCATACTGATTTTCAAAACTTTGGGCATCTTCTTTGGAGAAATGTATACCTAAGTCGTTGGCACATTTTTTTGCATTGGGATCTTTTTGTTGAGTTCTAGATCTTTGTATATTCTGGATACTAATCCCTTATCAGATGTTTAATTTGAAAATATTTTCTCCCATTCTGTGAGTTGTCTTTTTATTTTCTTGATAGTTTCCTTTGATCCATAAATTTTTTAAAATTTTGATAAAGTCCAATGTATCTGTAAGCTCTTTTGCTGCTTGTGTTTCTGGTGTCCTATCTAAGAATTCATTGCCAAGTTCATAGTCATGAAGACTTACTCTTATGTTTTCTTCTAAGAGCTTTATGGATTTAGTGAATACTTAGGTCTTCAACCCACCCATTTTGCATTAACTTTAGTGTAAGGTGTGAGGCAGGGGTTCAATTTCATTCTTTTGCACCGGGAAATCCAGTTGTCCACGAACTCTTTCTTTAACAGAGTATTCTTTCCCCATGGAATATACCTGACACCCACATCAAAGACCGGATAGCCAACCACGTATGGGCTTCATTGTGGACTCGTAATTCTATTCCATTGGTCTATCTGTCTTTACGCTAGTATCATGGTTTTGACTACTGTAGATTTGTAGTTAAGTTCTGATATTGAGAAATGTGAGTCCCCCAATTCTGTCTCTCTTTTCTCAAGACTCCTTTGGCTACTTAGGTCCCCTTGCAATGCTATATAAATTTAATAACCAGTTTTTCCATTTCTGCAAAAAAAAAGGGCTATTGAAATTTTGATAGGGGCTGCTTGAACAGATCTCTTTGGGGAGGACTGACACTTTAACAGTCAAAGGTAGGACAACAGTAGGTTTGCAGTTGTTTATATGGAGAAATAATGCAACAATTAATAAATAATAATATAAGAATAAACTGTTTTGCATACTCACAACTGTAAACCTACTTTTGCCACCCCCTGTATTGTCTCCCTACCCATGAACACAGGATGGTTTTCCATTTCCTCAGATATCTCTAATTTCTTTCAGCAATGTTTTGCAGTTTTCAGGGTACACGTCTTCTCCTTTGTGAAATTTATTCCTGGGTATTTTATTCTTTTGGGTACTATTGCAAATGAAACTGCCTTCCTAATTTCCTTTCCAGAATGTTAGTTGCTGTTCAGAAACAACTGATTTTTGTGTGTTGATCTTGTACCCTACAAATTTGCTGAATTCATGTATTAACTTTGGTAGCTTTCTTATAATTCTTTGGTATAATTCTTTGGGACCATGGAGATGGTCCCTGACGTACGATAGTTCGACTTCTAATTTTTTTGACTGCATGATAGTGCGGAAGTGATACACATTCAGGAGAAACTGTAGTTTAGACTTTGGATTTGATCCATTTTGGGGCTAGCTATGTACCCTATGATACTCCCAAGTAGTATCAAATGCATTTTCAACTTACGATGTTTTCAACATATGGTGGGTTTCCTGCAATGTAAACCCATCACAAGTCAAGGAGAATCACATATATGTATGCATGTATATACACATATATACATACATTTATTTGTTAAGCATATCATATGAATAATTTTTCTAATCTTCAGCTTACTCACTGGTTTTCCTAACCTGTTTTTCAAAGAACACAAGTTTCTAAAGTCCAGTTTATCAATTTCTTTTCCTTTATGGTTCGTGTATTTTGTATTATAAGTTATCTTTGCTTACCCGTAGGTTGCAAACATTTTCTCCTGTTTTCTCTTAGAAATTTCAGCTTTACATTAGCTTCATTTTTTCAAGTTAATTTTTAGGTGTTGTGTGAGGTAAAGGTCTAAATCTATTTTATTCCCAGGGGGATATTTTATTCCCAGGGAGATATTTTATTCCCAGGGGATGTTCCCAGAGCGTTACTGGCCACACCCACCCCCAGCCTCCTGTGAGACCCAATCCAAGTCTGTCCTTCCAAGATAAGGCCTATCTTCAGATTTCGGGTCCTCTCAGCATAATACACAAATTCACTGCCTAACAAAGTAAACCTCCCAGGGGGTTCTGATTTTTAAATCTGAAGGGATGAATTTTTAGAGCAAATTCCAGTTATTACGTCAGGCAGACAGGGGAGGTGTCCCAGAAGCAGGGGAGCCTTTGCTAGGGACGTACTTGGCTTCCCAAAGCAGACGGCTGTCTGCTTGTGGGGCCAGGCCAACTTCTGAACGTATCTGCCTCTCACTTTAAAGCACTTCTTCTCAGCACCCAAGGACTCAAACAAACTCTCTGAGACACTTTGCTGGTGTTGACCGTCAACTGCACGCTTGACCTGTTAGCCTCAAATACAGTTCTTAGGGAAGACTGGTTACAAACAGTTGTCAGAACTTCCACAGGGCAGGAAAAATCACATCCTAGTGAAGCTGGGTGGGCTTTTAATGTGCGAGATAACCGTTCTTCCATCGCCAGATGGAATCGCTCCAATTCACGCAGCAAGTGACTCTTACGTTCTCGAGATGGCGACCTTGTTTTTCGAGCTGGGGTCTTCATGCCTAGGGTAAGTCAAGACTTCCACGTGCTCCCACACTCACCTCGCCCTCCCTGGGAAGTGGTGAGGTCACTCGAGGTTCTTCTGAGACTCAGCTCGGCCCCGAGGCCCAAGGCAGTCCCTCCATCCCTCCAGCTCAGTGTCCAGGGAAACCCTCGGTGTCAGAAGTGCTGGCTCTGGTGGCCTCTGGGCAAACAGGACACTACAGTGTACTGGGGACTTTGACAGTGACCTAAAAGGGGGTGAACAGGAGGGGAGTTTTGATTTACCTTGACGTACAAGTGGCGGGAATCAGGCTCACCGAATTCCCATGACTGGAAATCAGAGGGTGAGACAGAGAGGTTTGTCCGTGACACCCTCCCGGCAGACGTGGCGAAATGTCTTCTACAGAACCACGGAAGACAGTACCGTCGGCATTTACATATTTTACATACACTTTGAGTACAAATCCTTAAAATTTATAATAGAACATTAAAATAATCTTCTAATAAAATCAGCCTTAAGTATAAGGAATCTAAATTTCAGCATCTTGTACACTCCTAAATAAATATCTTTGATCTATAGTCCTGGAAAATATTAGTTTACGGTGACATGAGACAAATCAAATAGTATGATAAGTGAAAATATAACAGCAGTTTAAAAATAAACAAGCCTAAACACATGGGGACCTGAATTGATAGAGAATCAAAATGCAAAGTACACAGTAATTAAATATCTACACGGGGGTAACCAAATGCATGCTCGGCAACACACCTTCAACACAGAGAGAGAGAAAGCCCTTTAAAACTCATGTAATCTAAATAAATAAGCACAAACACAATGGGAGGTACTGTACCAGCCAGTAACAACTAGAAAGTAATTTCTCCCTTTTTTTTTTCAAATGATTCTGACAGAAAAACATGAGATACTGATCATGTGCTAGAAAACTATAATTCATGTGTTTTGTTTCATTTTAAAATGCTGCGGATGACACAGAAAAGCCAAGCCACGGCTTCCTAGCTGCTAGACCGTAGAAAAGGAGATGCCACCGAACTGACAGATTCTAACAACATTTCATCAGACATTTGCTTGCTGAAGACATGACTGGATTTTCACCGAGACCCCAGCAGAGGTCTCAGTCAGGCCCAGGATACGAATGCGCATTCAAACACCCGACCGCAGGACCTGTCAATACTGAACTACATATGGCGATCTCATTTCATTTGCCAAAAGTATTTTTTTTTTTTAGCATAAGGCCATAATTAAACATCCAGAGCAGGAACTAACTCTTACTAATTATCTTTGTATTTTAGTTCTTAGCTTCTGAGAACACAACAGGTGCTCAATAAGTGTTCGCTCTGAATTGAGTCCAGCAACCATTATAGTCCAGGAAGCACCGAGTCCGTGGAAGAAATGGTTGCCGGAGACGCAGAGGGAGCTCTTTAGTTTTCCCTACAGTGATTCCTTTCTGGCTAGTCCACCAAGTTCGCTGTCATAGCTCTGTCAGTTTCTCATTTCACGGCCAGGATTTCTACACCTCATTTGTTCCACAGTTAAACCATCTTTAAGGATTTGTGCCTGCACGTCTGCAGTCACGTTGAAAGAATGAAGATAATTTTTGTTCTGTCGTGTTGGGTATTTGCTCGTGAGTGTCTGAAACGCACACGCATGCACACACACACACACACACACGCGCACGGCTATTCCACAAATGGAGAACGGAATCTGGAAGTAATGCACCAAGCCTAAATTACATCGCTCCCGAGGTTAACTAAAAAAAGACATCGAAACCATAGGTGACTCCTTTGGATCATACACAAACTTATTGCGTGACGGCTGGAAGCCATGTGTTCGGACCGATGTAAACCAAGAGTGTCCTCTGACCGTCAGCTTGAAAAGCAAGCTAAAGACGGTGAGGTTCCAACACCGCCCTGCCGGGGTGTGCTGGGCGCAGCTCATCACTCGAGCAAGCGGCGAGGAGGAGGAGGAGGAGGGGGGGGCGGGGGGGAGGAGGAGGAGAGGGACGGCTCTCCGAGGATCACTCCTCCGCCCGTCCGCAGCGCTCAGCCGGACCTCCGCTGCACCGCGTGGGGGATTCTGAGAGTCCCTCCGCACAGGCCACTGTAAGATGCCGTTTCCGATGTCCACGGTTCCTCACCGGGGCGTGGGGGGGCAGGACACGCACATCACACAACTCCTGAAATAAAAGCTGTTGAGAAAGTTCCGCTCCGTGACTCTCACTGCCAGCGCGCCGGTCCCGCTTGAACGCTGCTAGGAGAGGTAGACCCAGTGTTTCAGCCCTGCCATTCCCTGCAGGAGCTTCGTGTAGTAGAAGTCCACGTTGTCCGCGAAGTCCGTGCACACGGGCGACTCCATGTCGCCGAAGGCGCAGTACAGCGCGGTGCCGCCGACGCTGAGGAACACCGTGGCTATGCACAGCAGGATCAGCAGAATGCAGGAGCCCCCTCCAACCTCATCTGCGGACGTGAGAACAGAGGGAGGTTAAGCCGACACGACACGGGGGGAGGCCGGGCACCCACCGCCTGCTCACCGATGAGGGTGACTGCGCGTCTCACCAGCGGTCCCCTGGGGACAGGTGACACGGACAGAAAGCCAGCGCACCTGATGACTCCAGGAGGACCTACTTAGCAGTTACCACAAAGACTCGCTCATGGAGCTCATCGACGCTGCATTTAAACCCAGCTCATTCGTACGACGGATGCGGTCACTTCCGCAGAAAACGAAGGAAGGCAATAATACTCCTTTGATAACATCATTTTAGAATACAAGTTAAAGCCTCGCTGTTACGGTATCTTTGGAGGTCACTTCATGGGACCACCTTAAAGCAAAGTCGATTTGATATTAAGCAATAAAAAAAATGACTTTGGCTGGGATTATTTTTGCATCTTGGTAATACTCAGTTTCATTCTTATTATTTAGTGGAAAAGTGAAGTTCAAGCAGGTAGAGGGATTTCCTTTTATTTTGTCTAATAACTCTGGCAGGCTCGTTTTTAACAAAAACGTCCCCATCAGTTTTCTACATCGAGGAAATATAGGAAGCCCTAATGATTCCAGGAGGGAACAATTACAATATACTTGGAGAAGACTGAGAAGTTTCACGATCAGCACAACGAGGGCGAGCCGAGCCTTCCTGGAAGGCAGTTCAGCAGCATCTGTGAAGTGTTTAGATTAGACTGGAACACCCTTGAGGGCGAAAGAGAGCGTTCCCCGGATGCAGTGGGGGACCTCGCCCCACGGCCCAGCAAACCCGCCGCCAGGGGTCAGTGTACAAACTCGCACGACGCACTGCGGCAGCTTCACGAGCAGGTTCACTGCAGCAGAGTCTGTTGTAACAAAGCCTGAGAGTAACTTCCTTAGTTCAGTGACAATGGAACAGTTAAATTGTTACAGAACCTTCACACAGTGAAACACTATGCAACTGTTTCACAGAGTGAAGTCAATTCACATATTCTCTCATAGGAAGTTGCCTGAGATCAAGAAATTGAAAAGTGACACAATACTACATAATGAACCCACTTGTGTTAAGAAAGACACATGTGTTGGCGTGTATACACAGAATTCATCTCAAAAGAATAAGAAACTTTAGTCAGTACTTGGGGGAACCCTCAAGGGAGCACTGAAGAACTTCCACTTCTGTATTTCATTCCTGTCTGCGTTTTCCACCCTTGGCATATGTTACTGTTGGAAGACTTTACAGAAACATGTGAATACACTGTTCCTGTGACAATTCAAACACCTAGTCTACTCTGAGGGGCTCCCCTCTTTTCTCCTACCCCGTCACACGCCCCCCTCTCCGGGGGCAAACATGCAAGTCTGCTGTGCGTCCTCCCGGATCAAACACAGACGGCTCAGGACTTTTACGTAAACAGGATTCCCTTATCGTATTCTTCTGTGATCTACAAATGTCTAGTGTAACAGATTTTAAGTTACACAGATTTAATACTTTATAGGTCTATATGCAAATACCTTTTCACACAAATGAATAAATATGATCATATCAGTTGTGTTTTCTGTCAGTTCAGTATTTTCACCATCTTTTCCTCCTTTTGGCCTTATCTATGTTAACAACCTACGTATCGTTCTGTATTTTCCTTCACAGTCACATGTTTACACGAAAAATCTGAATGACGCTATGCAAAAGCGCCCGTTCTGTCTCATCCACGGGAGCTGAAACAGGGTGGGGAGCCGCACTGGCCACGGCGGAGGCCGCGGGGACCACGTGGCTAGTGAGCCAGGGGAAGTGTCTCAGTTCACGCCAAGCTGGCTCCTGCAGGAAACAAGCCTGTCAGCTCTGAACCCGGGGTTCCCCCTGGGGAGCGAGGATTCGGGGCCCACCAGTGCAAGCAAAGCAGCAAGTGTTTCCTCTGGGGGGGAACGTGAGTTACGAGCAAGGGGCGGCGGGAACGTGGGGGTGGGAGCAGGTTGTCCCCAAGGCTCCTACCAGCTTTGCCGTTGTAAACACTCAGAAACCTCCGTTGCTCCGCGTCGTACTGAGAAAGCACCTCTGCATGCTTCCACTGCTGTTCTACAAACACAAGGAGCACCCTCATGGGTTTCTGGCTCTGTTCTCACCCCTCCCCATTTACGCCCCGGCCCCAAGGGGAACCTAGCAACCGCCCTCAGCCCAGGCCCAGGGGGAGGGGCAAACAGCAGCCGCCGAGTGAGACGGCTGCTCTGAAGAGGCACTTCCTTCGGTAGAGCCAGGCACTCCCCGGAGAGAATACACCTGTAATCCATAAATATTTCCCACACATACAAAATAGGAGTGTTAACTGTTGCTGGAAGGAAGACAAAGATAGCAGACTCATTAAAAAAAACCCCACAAAACAAAAACAAGCCCTGGCTGGCGTAGCTCAGAGGACTGAGTGCGGGCTGCGAACCAAAGTGTTGCAGGTTCGATTCCCAGTCAGGGCACATGCCTGGGTTGCAGGCCACGGCCACCAGCAACCGCACATTAATGTTTCTCTCTCTCTCTCTTTCTCCCTCCCTTCCCTCTATAAAAATAAATAAATAAAAAAAAAAGTAAAAAGAACCCAGAAAACTCTCTTTAATCCGTTAACAATCTTTGGCCTTCATACCTAAGCTTTCCTTTAAAAAAAAATAGATTCCCAGTCAGGGTACATGCCTGGGTTTCAGGCCACGACCCCCAGCAACCGCACATTGATGTTTCTCTCTATCTCCCTTCCTTCTCTCTCTAAAAATAAATAAAATCTTTTAAAAACAACCCACCAAAAAAACAAAACAAAAAACAAAACAAAACAAAAAAAAACACAAAAAAACCCCAGCAAAAAATAAACCCAAAACAAAACCGAACACTAAACAAGGAGATCGAAATCCATTCTTCACATCGAGGACTGCCTGCGGGATAGGGAGGCTGTGAGCTGAATTTTGCAACGTGCTCACTTACTTGAGCGAACAAAATGCTCCGGAATTATTTAAGAACTGGTGGTAGTTCAATTATGCGCTTCTGTACAGAAGATGAAAAAAACCTGGTCCACATGTTCTTCTACAAAGTCTGCCACCTCTCACCGCACATCAATGCGTGCTCCCGCGAACGCCAGGGGCGGAGCCTGCGTCAGCCCCAGAGCCGAGCCGCGCGCGCGCACTCACCTTGGTCGAGGTGGTCGTCTATTTCCTGGAACCTCACTCGCCGCTTGGATGGTTTCTGCTGCATCTGGGCAGGCTGGTCTCCCGCGGGACTGTTCCTCTTCTTTAAGATAGAGACCAGTCCCTCAGCAGGAGCCACCTGCCAGGGGTTGGGAAGGAGCGTGTGTGAAAATGACGGTGCGGAGTATCAGTGGCATTTTTACATGTACTGGTAACAGGGCGAATGCAATTCAATGGGTATTTGAATTTCTGTTCTGGGTTGATTTAATTCCTCCTAAAAATCACAGCCATCAAAACCTAACGGAACAACTTTCACGTCCAGTGCAGGCCTAAAACTGCTTTCCTGAAGCCCCGGAGGACTCCAGGGCCAGGCAGTGTGACAGAGGGCGGTGGCCCCGAGTCAGGCCCCCTATAACTGCCTCGCTTTGCTGCTCCGCTCCGTTTCCCTGTGAAATAATCTGTGAAATGATCACTTGCAACCCCGCTTTGCTTAATTATTAGCGCTGGGCTTGGCTTTATAACAGAGGCCCATAATCCACCACTGCTTTTGTCATTCATCGGCAACTTTAAAGAAATAAACATGTGAGACTTAAAAGATATTTGATATCAACTTTAAAAAATATTATTTTTTTCCAGAGAGAGGGAAAGGGAGGAAGAAAGACAGGGAGAGAAACATAGATTGGTTGCCTCTCGTGTGCCCCCATCTGGGGACCTGGCCCGCTACCCAGGTGTGTGCCCTGACTGGGGATTGAACCGGTGACCTTTTGGTTTGCAGGCCAGCACTCAATCCACTGAGCCACACCAGCCAGGGCTGATACCAACTTTTAACACCGAAATCGGTGTTGTCCTCAGTTCCTCTGAGAAACGCTACATTTACTGAAGAACGCTCGGTTGCTCAGGACGTTTTAAGGACTTCCCTTCTAGAAAGATCAGAGCCAGTTTACTGGAGACATAGGACTTGGTAGTATGAACACACAGGTTGGCAAACTCTGGGTCTGTGAGCCAAAGACCTGCTGCCTGTGTAAATTTAATAACATGTAATTGGAACAAAGCCAAACCCGTTCATTTCCACATTGTCTGTAGCTGCTTTGGGGCTACAGTGGCAGAACAGAGCAGTTTCAACAGACCAGAGGGTCTAAAACATTTACCACTGTCTGTCTAGTATCTCCCCAGCCCTACACTTCAACCCCTTCCTGTTTCCTTCCGGTTTTCACTTGGGACACCTCTCTCCTGCCTCTGCCCCACCCCTCATTACAAACAAAGACAGAAACGAAAACCCTTGCCATTTAGGAGGGAAAAGACTCCAGGGCGTAGGGAGAATGAGAAGAGGACCCTGGGTGGAACCAGGCCGGGGAGCAGGAGGCCTTGCAGGTCCGCCTCCGCAGCGGGCTGGTTCCCACAAGCTTCGGCGGCGGGCTGGTTCCCAGGAGCTGACTTGCGAGCTGCCTGCCCGGCCACAGGTGATGACACAGGTGGGCATTGTGGGCCTCACACTGCAGGTGTCAGGGACTTGGGTGTCAGGCCACTGGAAGCTAGGGACGGCTGGTAATGTCACTTGGCTGACCAACGGCACAAAATACCTAATGTGACCTCCAGTTCCAGCCAGCCTCCTCTGATAATGCGCAGTGCATAAATATTACAGATTCTATTAGTTCTTTTTATAACCCAAGGCTTTCAGGGCCAAGAAAGTACTTAATATGGTCATTCACAGGGCCTTCCAGAACATGGGTCTATAGAAACCATTATCTCAAAAAAAAAAACACCCAAAAATCAATGTTAGCAATTTATTCTTTTTATAGGAATTACATAATTCCTACACAGTTTCAGCTGATGTCCTTCTTCTGAGAAAACGGCTCTGGTGACATTAAAATGGTAAGTACAGACAAGCAGAGGAACAGCCTTTCCAGTCTTGCTTTAGAGCAACAACATTCAAGGGCCCCTTCACACAACAAAGAAAAGTGATTCTACAAGCGTCCTGCTCGAACGGAAAGGGGAAGAAGCCCTAACAACGTTCTTAAGAGCAGGAGATGGAAAATCAAAGTTAATTCAACCCATACATGACTCCTATAGATGATGCTTTTCTCTCTAGTAACTGTAAGGGAATGAGGCTCTCATGCACGGTCTGCTCCGTGACACGACAGCTGCACGTGCCCCGGCAGTGAACTTGCGCGCCACAGGCGTCTCCAAGTTGCTCTCACTCCTTAGAACCAACAGCCCTGGGGTGGCGTCACCGTTAACCGCGCATCTTTGTGATGTGAACTTCTGACTCTGTACACTCGAGTCACAGACCCAAGTCGTCAATCGAGAGACACCGCGACCATGGCTACATGAGTGTTGGAAGACTGGGGAGAACTCGGGAAATCATCTGCAAAGGCACGGAACGTGCTTCCGCGACGGACCAGCTGGTCCCGGCGCAGCGGCTGCCAGGCCCCCACCTCAGCCCCGGCTCGGCCTCGTCTGGGGGGTTTGGCCCTGAACTCGTGCGCGGCGGCCAAGGGACACGAGCCTTTCCAAGGGGCCCCGTCTTCTTCACTATGGTGGGTGGCCATGACCTTGGGCAGCTTTTTCAAAGAGGGAAGAAGCAGAATACGAGAAATGACAGTTGGATGGGATGGGCTAACATTTGGACACTCTCCCCCACGAACCCTCTATTCTTGGCTAAAAATCTAACCGCACGCTACGTTTTCTTTTCCCTTTTCTCTCCCACGGAAACCAGAAGCCCGTTGTTCCCTTGGGGCCTGCCTCCCTGTCTGCGGGACAGTGGGCCCTTTCCCAGCATTCCTTTCCAGACTTGCTCGGGTACCTTCTCTAGCTCTTGCCGCCTCTTTTCTAACCGCCCTCTGGCCCCGCAGTCGACAGGTGCAGAGCCGGACGGTGCCGCCAAGCTCCGGTGCCGGAGACGCTGGCCAAGGGGGAGACTTCTTGGGAGACGGGTGGGTGTGGCCTTTCTGTTTTGGCAGGAGTTTTGGGCAGACGCCTCAGAACCTCCCTCAAGGACAGAAATTCCTACTCACCTCACCAAGGCAGTCGGGCATCAAGATGAGTTTAAGAAATGACTGTGGTAGAGTTTTCCTCAGTTCTACAGGAGAAGGGAAGGAAGCCGCAGTAACGAGTTCGCAGTACTAGCCTGGGGTCTCACTCAAAAGACTGCCGAGTGTTTCCAGGGAGGGTGGGGAGATGACTCAGGGCACACGGAAACGCGTCTCCTCCAAACTCCTTAAAATACCGCTATTACAAGGTTAAGAGAGCTTAAACCTCAGAAAATAAAGCTTTATGAACTAAATTTGGCTTTCCACTTGAATGGCTGAATTTCTTTGCTACCCAAACAAAATATACCAAGCCCTTCCATTACGAACTACAAGAATGTTCAGGCTGTAATTAACGTAATTGTTGCTGCTGGCACTCGATGAAAAAGTGCAAAATTCAGCAGCAACAACCGAACATCCATCTGGCCTAGTCCCCTGTATTTGCAAATAAACAGTATTCCGTACTTCCCCTCAAACGCCAATGCTCATCTTAAATGGCATTTGAAGAATGAACTGCTTGTAAAGACAAAATTATTTTGCAACCCTATGCGCACAGTGAATCCTATGCACACAGTAAATCCTACTGTGACAAACTGAACCAACATTCAGAGGTCCCTGATGGTAGAACTAGCTCCTCACAAAATTAAAAAAAAAAAAAAAGATACCAAATAATTTCTTTTAATGACCTAGGCTTTACTCAATCCAGAACCTCAAGGGCTGGTAAATTCTGAACACAAACACGTTTGGTCTCCAACTGGCTTGAGAATGAACATTGACAAGGCAGACCAGCATGATCGGAAACAGAGTAAGTGCCACCAGCCCCCTGTGGAGGCACGTGTCAGATTTACCACCTTTGCTCTTCACCGAAGGGACAAGTGACAGTCGGCACGGGCTCTGTAGGGAGACCTACAATGTAGTTAATCTGCATGCTCTATGTAAAGACATTTACATGACATGTCACGTTTAATCTTCACGACTCTCATCATCAGCCCCACTTTCCAGATGAAGATGCCAGGCTGAGAAAGTGTAACTAACATTCTTAACCTTGTAGCACCAGCTACTGGCGGAGTTTGAATACACACTCAGGATTAAACCTATTGCCATTTTCTTAACGTGAAGATCTTAGTTTCTACGACTGTTGAAGTTTTGCTTATTCTGTCTGACTTAGTTTGCTCAGCACGATGCGTCCTTTCGAGATCCATGCATGTCGTCACAAACGGCAACCCTGCGTCTGTGTCAGAGAAGGACAAGAATCAGATGGTTTGACTCCTATGCGGGATACACAATGGAAGCAACCAATGAACAAACGAAACAAACACACACAAAACTCCCAGACACAAAGAACAGTATGACAACTACCCGAGGGCCAGGCAGGTGGGGGAGGTAGAAGAGGGTAAAAGGGTCAAATGTGTGGTGACACAAGGAGGTTGCATAATGGGCGATGAGTACACAATGCAACCAACTTGCAGGTGACACACTGGAACCCCGTACACTTGAAACCAACACAATCCTACCAACCAATGTCACCCGAATGAGTCTAATAAAACACTTTGTTTAGTGTCCTCTGTTATAGCAAGTCTAATAGGTGTCTTTTATCTTTTCAGAGTAGCGTATACCTCCAGTAACAACTCCGTACCTTGCACGTCACTCAACAACCAAAAGATACTTGAACTAATGGCTAAATCCGTCAATACAGAGATGGGGGGAGATGACGGTGAGATGAAAGACCTTTCGTGTCACACAATTAACCAGAAAGTGGACTGATATCACAGTTACTACTACAATAAGCCATGACACCAGGTCGCAGCGGGAGCTCATGGAGGAATGCCACCCTCCAGAAAGAACGTGTTTCTGGCCATCGCGCTGCGTCTTACAGCTGCAGGTGCGGAGCTCGAAAGAGGGAGGAGCGGATGGCGATGGCGATGAAGCAGGTTAACGCCGAATTTTTAAAAGACGTAAAAAGAGAAAGGTTTGCTTAAAAGAAACATGGGAGTTTTATAATGTATCTGAGTTTCTAGATGAGGCACTACCTCGTGTTTCTGTAATTTGCTTTTGCTCGTTTAAAAAGGGATGATAGAATACATACGAAACAGGACAAGAAGTGGTCACAGTGTCAAGATGCCATCCCACTTTTTCGCCCCCAGTCAACTGTTTACACAGGCAGATTCCAAAGCAGAACTCTTCTCTCCCCCTCAAAACTGGTCTTCACCACCAAACCCCAGCCCTGATCCATTAGCACGTCCTGCACGCCCCTCCTTCAAAAACACACCTTCCCCACACACACTCCGCTGCTACTACCTGAGCCCTGTCCTGCGTTATTTTTCACCTGAATAGCTGCAGCAGCCCGCCGGGCGTCCCTCCTGCGGCCCCCACCTCCCCGCAGTCTGCTCTCCCTGGAGCAGCTGGGAGACAACGCAGGCCACCTCGCTCTCCGGCTCCAAATCCTGGCTTTCCACCATTGGCATTTCATTTCCGTTTCTCACTCCGACCCCACCTGGCCCTTCAGGCAGTAGCTCTGCTCACCTCTTCCCCCTAAACCTGCCACCACCATGCTGTCCTCCCACTGCCTACAAAAGACAGACCGCACCCCGCCCCCCCCGCCCCCAGCCACTGGTCAGTCTCTCTACATCCCCTCTTCCTGCCGAGGCTTCTCATGGCCCTTACCCAAAGCTAGAACTGTACTGTTCACTCTGTGTGAACTTGTTATTTTGTGTCTCTCCCTGTACAGCACGAGCCTCATGAGAACAAGAACTCGATCTGTGTTCCCTCGAGCCCTCGGATACAGCAGGTGCTTAATAAATACGCCAACGAGTAAATGACTACCCAGATAGGCAGGTTACATATGGACAGCCCCTACCTATATCTATTTGAATAACACAGCTTCTTCCCTTGAAGGTTACTTCCTTTTCAAAGTGAACTCAGCATAAGAAAATTTTTTTTAAAAAAGTCTTACTGTGTGGGAGTAAAAGGCAGAAAACTGTACTTGAGTAATGATTAAAATGAAAAAAAAAAAGAAAAAGAAAAAAAGTTTTACTGTGTAGAGGTGGGGGCTACTTTCAATAGCCTGTAAAGTCTGCATTGGCTTTGCTGAGAGTACAAAAAGGATATTATTCCAAAGGACCCCCACCCCTAAGGAGCTGGGGTTCAGTGCAGAAGACCCTGTGTGCGTGTGTGTCCTGGACAATGACGAGGGGAGAGGACAGCGAGACAGGGCTTCGGGAGAATGACACTGAAGCCACGCCCTCGAGTGCAGCTCCGAGGAGCGGGGGGGGGGAAGGAGTAAACGTTACAGACCTCGGTGATCAGTGACGGCAGCATTTACTGGGCATTGACCATGGACCAGTGCCTGGCTTGGCACTCGACAGGCTAAGAAGGCACGAGCCAGACCCTGAGGGCCGGGAGGAAGTGAGGGTCTGCACAGGAAGGTCAGAGCGACACCGAGGGGACGGCGGCCTGCGAGGTGTGTCTGGGAGGCTGGAGGAGGCCAGTCTGACGGGAGTGCAGGCGGAGAACAGGACACAGCAGGGGGGACGCTGGAGAGGCCGAGTGGGCCAGGGCACCGAGTCCGGAACGCTAAGCCACGGAGTGTGGCCTTCATCCCGGAGCCAAAAGGACCCCCGGGGAGACACAGACACAGCAAATAGAGTTTACAGTAGAAGTTTATGCGGCCGGAGTGCGTGTGAGACCCAGACCTTGGGCGTGGCGGTCTCATCTGCGTGTTTCTGAGACCCGCCGCAGGCTGAGACCCACGGAATGGCTATGGTCGTGACCTCACACAGCACTGCTGCTCAGGTCCGGCCTCCCGTCTTAGCGGGTACCCCACGGTGTGACTCTTAGTGTGACTTGGCTCCCCTGACCCCAGTGCCCTGGCCAGAGACAGAGACGGATGGGCGCCCCAGGAGTCACTCCGGTCGGAAAGCTGCTCTGAAGACAAAACCAGGGGTAGCCCCAGGCTGTCCTCTTTCTCCGCCCCGGGGAGTTCTAGGTCGTGTCCTCTCCTGTGACAAAAGGCAGACTTGAGATATCTGCATAAATGCCATCGGTTTAGACTGCAGGGGGGGACGTATTTTGCCCCTTTTCAGACGACGAGCTTGCCAGAGAGCCAAACGGTAGCAAAGCGGCTACTTCCTCAGCTTTTTGGTCTCGAATTACTTCTAAAAATTAAAATTACTTGAATGCGAAGCACTTAATAGAGTTTTCTGAACAGATGACCTCTCTGCAAATAGATCACACATGTTATGTCAACGAAGAAAATGGTTTCTTTTCATGAGGCTTATCAGGTCGTCCAAGTCTGCTCCCAAAGCTGTGAATAGGATCCCTTTCCAAGGTAACCGATCTATTTTAGTAAAGCGTACCCAGTATTTGAGGGCCATTTATTGAGAAAACAAAACTCCTTCACCCCTCCCCCATGTAACAATGTATCATCAGCTGAACGGACCTTAATTAATTAGCAGTGCGGGACTGGGTCACCATGCACCCTGAAGTTGTACAGGGTATTTCTTCCCGCGGTTTCGGTGCTAAGGACAACGGATGGCTCAAAAAGGAAGACAAGGCAACCCTCCCAGGCCCCAGCACCAGGCGAGTCCGTGAGTTAGCAGCACGGCCAGCTTCCTCGGTTAGGGGGTTTGGTGCTGACATTCAGAGATATCGTGGGCATGGCGATGAAATGCCATCTTTTCCCCATGACCGACCGGGAAGCTCAAGCTTAGAGGACAGGTGAGGAGGCCTGGACAGGTGGGACCTGGGGTGAGACGTCCGTTAGACCGTAGGCCTCCCTGGTGCAGCCTCCTTGTCTAAAGGGGCGGCATCCACAGGGAAGTGAGGTAAGACCACCGAGTGGGAGAATAAACGAGTGAATCTCTTAAACTCACTGCCACTGCACACGGGATCTACTTCTAACAGCTTTCATGAAGAGAGCATACATGTTTCTGATGCTTTTTTAAAGCAGCAGAGAGGTGGAGATTATACTTTCGATGACCGTGTCCTCCTCTTTCCTACACAAGAACAACAACGTTTCTGAGACGAAGCTGTCATTTCACTTAGCAAAATGATTCCTGTATTCAAAAAAGCTGCCCAAACCTAGACCCTTTCCATTAACGTGAATCCCATTAGTGTAGACATCTCCAGTTCTCTGGGAGATGGCGCGTACATTATTTCATTTTTGGGGGTGAATCTCCCTGTCTAAAAAACACAACCAATGCTCCCACGGGGTGGTGGTGGCTGTCGAAGCCGAGTCCCACCGGACACCGGGGCTCAGTAGTGCAGAAGTGGCAAGAGATGGAAGCGAAGAAACAAGGAAAAGGGGAAAACCGGCCAAGAAAGGACGTACCATCGTGTTCTGCCATCAACCCGGTGGCAGAAAGAGTGACAAGCCTCAAGGGCACCTGTGAGGGGCAGGGTCGCTGGCGGGAGGAGTGAGGATTGGGGAGAAACCGGAGGACCCACGGGGACAGCTCCGCGTGGAGGAGGAGGGCGGGCTCGTGAGTCTCAGCAGTTCCCGCGGGTGTGAACAATGCTGCCCAGGAGAACACTCAGTTATTAAGAAATTGCGTTCTGGATCCTGTATTCACACAAGTATGGAAGCAGGGAAACTGTTCCAGACACAGAGCAGGTAGAAGGGGTGGACGGGGCGGCAGGGAGCTCCCAGAGCCCGGGAACGTCACTGGATCCCCACCGTGTCCTGGGCACTGGGTGCGCCGGGGAGAACCTTCCCAGAGGGCCTTTCCTCCCCCCCGCCCCGCCCCCAAACTTCAAACAACTGTATTCTCCAACGAAGGAGCGTGGCGGCTGTCTCGATCCTCTCCTCCTTTTCATTTTTATTTTTTTTGGTTTTGATTAGCCTCACTACTTTGTAGAGAAACTTTAAAACTTTGATTTAAAATATTTGTCTCAGCCAAGTAGTTAAGTGCTGTTTGCTCAAATCCAGAGCTTATAAATTAATATTGTAAGGAAGAACACTCACAGCATCCACTGTTAGGGCTTCAAAATCCACCTGGTATTTCCTGGTCTTACTGTATTTTAAAGTGTTCCCTTCATTCTCTTACACTGTCCCAAAGAATTAAAAATACATTACTAAGAGGACGAAGCAGAGAATATACCTTCTATCTGATCTCCTAGTTGTATGAGAAGAAGGAGATTTCTCTGTGAGAAAGTGACTAATCCTGATCACGACTCCTACGAGTGCCAAATAAAAGACACAAGGACAAAAAGATTTGCATAATGCTTCTCTCTGGAGGCAAGTGATTTACCTTCCTGCAGCACAAACATCAAGACCAAAATAAATAAAACCCCCTAAGGATTAAAAGCTTACATCAATTAAATTTTTCCCTCGGTGTTTGAGACCAGGGAAAATTGACAGAAACTAGGCAATCTTGAGCACATTTGGCTTTTCACGCTTCCTTCTACCTCTCAGAGTATTTACGCAGCAAACGGCAACTTTACCTCTGCGATCTCTATCCTTTTTGCAAGATCATCGAGAGAAAGGCAGCCCTCGTCGGTGGGCAGGGGCTCCTGCAGACTGTAGGACGCTTCCTCAGGGGAGAGGTCTTGCAGGGGGTCAGAATCCTCCTCTTCGTACGGAAGGGAATCGTCAGCATCTTTTAAGCATCCTTCTAAAAGGCTGTTTAGGTAGTCCTCTGTTTCTTTACTGACTTGGTCGCCCTGCTCTCCCGGCCCCTCTGGGGCCATACACGCCTCTGGAGGCCCCGCACTTAAGTCAGACCCGCCGGCATTCCCACAAGGCACACAGTCAGAGCCCTCCGAGCTGGCCGGCCCCTGCGGTGATTTTCCATCCCTGCCCCTGCGATCGGGTGGCTGCGGCTCGTTCAGTTCATTGTGCTGGGGCCGGTCTGAGGGCCACGCCTCACAAGCAGCCTCTCGGAGTGGCAGATGGAGCTCCTTTCTTTGAGTCTGTGAATGTTTACCCTCAGGACACAATGCAGGAGGAGTGTGGTCAGAGCCCGGAGAGATCAATGGCTCTGTCCCCGACTCTCCGGGAAGGACCACCTGAGGGTCTTCCGCAGGGCCCTCTGTTTCGGCCACGTCTTGGCAGGTGTCTGTCTGAGCCGGCGGCGGCGGCACGCTTCTGTCACCCTCACAGGCGTTCTTTGAGGAGTGTGGCCTGCAGCGGCCCCCAGCTGTCTCCTGGGACTGGGCGTGGAGCTGCCCGGTGGCCCCCTCCGCGCAGCCGAGTGGCTGCTCCGCTGTGTGGTCCCTCCCTGCAGTTACGGGAAGGCCCAGGGGAGCTGCCGGCCTGGCCCTGTGACTGCCGCAGGGACTGCTCTCCGGGGCCCCTCCTTCGGGCTGGCTTTCTGCACTTGGGTCCATGCCAGGGCGAGTTTCACTTTCTGAAGACAAGGGAAAAACAAGTGGTTTTAAGATTCAAAACAACACTGTATAGGAGGGAAGAGAAACGACATATAAGTGACGGGTGTGACCCAGCAATATTGTAAACCACTGAAAAGATGTATTCGTTCCCTGCCTCTAGCTTCCTGTTACAAGTCAACGTGGTTTGGGGCAATTTATCGTTGAAATGTTTACCTTACTGTGGCTTCCTCAATGTGACTCACACGGGCCCACGTTGGATGCTGAGACATTTTTCTTTCCCATTTACATTTATTTTCCCTGATTCATTGCTTCATTTAAAACAGTCTCCACTTAAGTATGTCTGAACCCTGACAGATGGACAATGAAGGCACATACGCCGATAGATAATCAAGCAGCTTTAAGCTGAACTGTGGACACCCTCTAGGACTGGTCCCCAGGTCATTTCCCTTCCGGGTCATCCCAGGAACCCCCTTGGCTCTACCTGGGAGACCTTGCTTTCTGGATCCCAGCTCTTCCTCTTGGTGGAACATTTCCTAAGGAAAGGGACACGGCACGTCAACTTTTTAGGATCCTTCACACTGAAAAGTCCTTGTGCCTTGACCCCTGAAAACTTTAGTAGGGTTTTCTGGGCCAGGAATCACATGTTCTCTAACAATCTGGAAGGTGCTCCTGCACTGTGACTAGCTTCCGGGAGGAATGTCACGTTTATTAACCATTCTGAATACCACCCCCTGGTAACCTACGTTTTCTTCCCGGAAGATTTGGATTATTTTCTTTGTATCCAGTGTCCTAAAACTTCTTCAAGCGTCTCATGCTTTGTGTTGGGTACTTGGTGGGTCTTTCAGTCTGGAAACTCACGACCTTCAATGCTAGGAAGTATTCTTGTATTTTTTTTTTTTTTTTGTAAATTGTCCCCTCCCCTTTTCTGTTCTCTCCCTTTAGGGTGCCCCTCAGGACTTTGGGACCAATGGACCGATCACCTGCCTTTTCTGTCACACTCTTCACCTCTCTGTCTTTGGACCAGCTTTTTGGGACCCTGCCTCGATTTCCCCCTTCAGTTCTTCTCATTTAATTTTCATGTTGGCCAGCACACTTTTAAATTTCTATGAACATTTCTCTAGTTCACCCAATGTTCCTTTCCTAGAAGTCAGCATCTTATTCTTGTTTTCACACATACAATATTTTCTCTGATCTTTGGGAAGACCATTAATTTTTAAGAAGTTTTCATCTGTTCTCTGCATTCCGTTTCCCTGGAGTTCCTCTTGGTGTGTCTGTCTGACCGGGTCCCCGTGTTTTCTGTCTGAGGCTGTCTTACAGGAGGCAACAAACAGCTCTGCGGTTAGAGAGGCAAGCCCTCTCCCGGACTCACTCTCGCTGTGCAGCAGAGAGGGGCTGGAGGTGTCCATGTCCCGGCCGAGGGGCTAGTTTCCCAGAGAGGGAAGAAGAGATACAGCTGCCACAGCTCTGAATGCTAACTGCAGAGAATAGGCTAACGGTCCCGCCACTCGGTCCAGAGATTTCCATTCAACGCTCACTTTCTCTGTAATACGCCTTTCCTCGAGTTTGGTCCCTGCGTCCACAAGGCCTCTACTTCATGTTCTCTACAAAATAAACCTTCCGCCCCCTGCCTGGTGCGGGGGAACAGAAAGGTCTCAGTGCATCCGGCGCAGCCTTTTGGCCCCGCCTCCTGCTTCCCTTGGGGCCCCCGCCCTTGACCTTAGTGGTGTCCTCTGTGCCTCCAGGTCCAGGCCTCTGCAGGCAGGGACCAGCACGTTCCCTGCGGACACACAGCTCCCAGCTCTCCCTGGCGCGTGGAGCCAGGCGTCGCCCAGCCATCCGCGCTCCAGCGTCCACGTTTTTCTGAGCGTCACATCGGCTGCTACGTCCTTGCCAGTTCTGTCCCTGTGGGGTTTGGCCTTTTAAAAAGCCCTTGCTGATGTTTTAATGGCGTTGCAGGAAAAAGTGGGGGTCAATGTATGATTCGCTGTGTGTCCATGTATTTTCATGAATTCAAACTATTTTTACGATTTTCTACAGGTATGTATTAGGACATAGAACTTATTCTTGTTAGTGCTCCTGCTAGTTAATATTACCATGGATTTCTGTTACTTAGCTCTTTACAAATGTAGACGTTTGTAAAAACCCTTCAAATGACACAGTTAAAATGGGTACATTTTACTGCATGGAAATTGTATGCCAAGAAAGCCTATGAAAAATGGGAACAAATGGTAAATGTAAAACTCAGGGTGATGGTTCCATCAGGGGTGGGGTGAAAGCAGGGGACGTGAATGTCGTTACCAGAGAACTGACAATCATTCAGTCCTTGCTTGGGTGTTAGGGTCATGGGCCTTCAGTTTGTTATCATTTCTCATCATGTATGTAACACATTGCTTTTGCACATAACACACTCCTTAAACACACATAAAGATACGAATGAATAAGAAGGCATGGGCTTCGGGTTCAGAAAAGCAGGGCTTGGCTTTGAGTTCTAATTAGTTCTGCTCCTGCAGAAGTCACTTAGCTTCCTTGAGTTTCTTCAAATGATCCAGCTTGGCTGATGCTGGCAGGTAACAGGGACAGACGAGATATGAGATACCATGTGAACTACTTGGTAGACTTTCCCAGTGGGAGATTCGCAGGCCGGGAACATGCACCGAGTGCTGGTATCGGAAGGCGGTGGTAACATGAGGAGGAGGAGGAGGAGGAGGAGGGGGGAGGAGGGCAGTGAGAGTACACCGAGCCCTCACTCTGGGCCTGGTACTGTTCTAAACTCTTAACAGGAAATTATTAACACAGTCCTCTCAAGAAGCCAAGAATTAAGTACAGTTAATTTTGGTGCTGTGGGAGTGGAGGCTCAGAGAAGTCAGGTGACTTGCCTAAGGTCACACAGCTTTCAGGGGTGGAGGCTGAGTTCAAACCAGGTAAGTCTGGCTCCGGAAGCAGGCTTCAACCACCACACGCAAGACAACATGTCACAGATTACGTAAGAGGCTTGGGATCGGGGAATGTAGAGAGACAGACGAGGGAAAGGAAAATCCAGATTATACTACATGTCTTACATTATTAGAAATGGGGAAATGTAAAGCAAAACAGGAACAATGTGTTTGACTCAAATCATTTAAAGTCATATTTTCATATTCTTCTCACATCCTTACGTTTCTATGTATCTATTCAGAATAACCAAATTGAGGAGACTGATTCTGGGGAGATTTGACATTTTTCTTTAAAAGATACTGTTTTATCAGACTCGGCAAGACTTCTTGCCCCAGGATTTAGTCTACCCTCTCCCCGTAAGACGGTTATTAGTGAGAAGCATGCTGTATTTTAATCAGAAATCAGAAGACCCAGGTCCTAGCTGGGAAACAAAGGATCAAGCCAGGGACCGACTCCCGGCGTCTCAGTTTTCCCGTCTGAAACTCCTTTCACGGCAGAGGCCAAGCTCCCGCCAGCGCCAAGCTGGGGCTGGGCAAGCCACAGGACTGAGTGTCAAGTTTAATTAGTCAGCCCGTGGCAGCACTCTCCCCACTGCACACGACACGGAGGCACAGCCACGCCCACACCAGGTGGCCATGCTGTGATCTTTCCTCTCTTTTTCAGATTTCTGGGAAGCTCCTTTTACTCTGGTTTCCAGTGTAAAAAGGCCTGGAACACAGGAGCTGGGAGGAACGGGACACAGCAGGACTGACCTAAAGTGAAATCCTAAATCTGCCACATAGAAATAAAGGAGATGAAGCAACATTTAGGGAGTGGGGGGGGGGGGGGAAGGACTTCATAAAAAGAAAAAGGAGAATTAAATGGCAGGCATCATCATCACCATCGTATCTCTCAGGCAACTCAGGTAAAACGCCTGATGCTGCTTCGTCTGATACCAGGGCTCGGGAACAGAGATCCCGGGGACACAAATCAGTAGCAAGATCATACATCAGGAGAAATAAATGCCCTAACATGCAATAATTTATCTTTATTTTCTCACGTGTTTGTAATGGACACACTCATGTAAAAAACAGTTTCTAAGAATCTTTAAGTTTTGACACAAGACACAAAGTGGTACAAGATATACCATAAATGCTTTAGAAATGTATACGTCACCGTTAGCCAACGTAGAAGGGAGGAGACTCAAATGCTAGGGATAAATTATCAAGATACAGAGCCTTTAAATAGTTAAATACGCAGAATAAATTTCTGGTCAAGTCTATACGATAAATGCTGGTTTTTAAACAGAAAACACTGTGTAAATACGCTGAAACCACTTCTAACCCAGAGCACTTTTCACAGCCTTGTCATGCTGTGTTAGGCGCACGCAACCCCTGCCGAAAACATGGAAACAACTTTACGCTCTTCTGAGAGTTTAGATTTAATACTTTCTACTACTAGATATCTAAGCATAGAGTTACACCATACTTTTAAGACAGCTCACTTTGCTATGTGTCTGGAAAAGGAATGTACAAGAAACGCAGTAAATGCAGCATTTCAGACGTGGCAGCGATTCAGACGTGACACTGGTAAAACACTGTAAGAGGCAGGTACGTCTTACGGTCCTCTCCAGCCTCAAAACATACCCGGCTCTCTGGCTGCGGCCCCGTGCTCCTCTGGGTCTTCACATGCGATTAACTGCGTGATGCATTTCCTTCCCAGGGACTTTTCTGCGGCTGCTATCTAAAAATTAAATAATTCGAGAGAGGTCTAGTTTCTAAAAGAGTTCATACTATAGACACCTGACACTTAACATTTTTCCTGGAGATACTTTCAGAGAAACGATCCCTTACCTTATGTTTGGATGAAAGAGGACTGTAGGAAAAAAAGAGAGAGAAAAGAATTAAAAAAAAAAAAAAACTACAGCAGTGATATGCTTCCAAACAAATGCCACCGAAAGGGCTGTAAAAAAGTGACAGCTTCTCAGGATTCTAATATTAGCACAGAACATCTCCACGACTGAAACATTACCGCTGCTTCCCACAGTTCAAAGGGCAGTCACCTCGTGTGTCTGTCTCCTCGGAAAGCTAATTCCTACTGAAAACTCCCGAATAAACCACACATGCGGAGACCCAAAAATACAACTTATTCTTTTGCTAATTATGTACATAAAGGGTATTTAACACACATGTAGTTTTAAAATTTTAGTTTGTCATTATAATCTGAAATACAGTAGAAGATAATTTTATTGGCATTATCCATGGAATCAGATAAAAAAGCTATTTTTAAATATTATAGTTTAGGGAATACCTGATTTAACAGAATCTATGTATCCACCAAAAGGCATGAACAAAAATGTCCATAGCCATCTTATTCATAATATTCCAGAACCAGAAACAATCCAAATGTCTGTTAGGAATAAATTCATTGCTCCAGTAATATCATGAATGCACTCAGGAATAAAAGAGAATAAATTGCCATCACGTGGGACACCATGTAACACACACATACAACAATGGGCACGAGAAGCTAATTACAAAAGTCTGCCGTCTGTGTGATTACGTGTGTATGAAATCAGAGAATGGCCACACCACTGCCACAGAGCTCAGACGGGGAGACTCTGGGGCTTGGGCACTGCCTTGCACGGGCCTGAGGGGGCTTCCCCAGGGGCTGGGCTGCTGCTCTGCGTCTCGGTCGGAGTGGAAGCTGCACAGACAGCTGTGTCCGTGCCGGCATCAACGGGACAGACTTGCAGCCTCTGTGCTGAGGCCCTGGTTTTATTGTTGTCGCGCCCCTTGCCTTCCAAGTTCTGAGTCTGGACATACGACTTAAAAACATATTTAAGTGCCTTATTACTGCTATGATTTAGTTTTAAAGCTCCAACTCTTTGATACAAATCAAGCCGTTTAAATTATCTGGTAAATGTAATTTTCCTTCTGCAGTATTTTGGTTAAATGTCCTGCTGTATTTGATTTCTATTACTAGACTTCTCTTTAAAAGGTGTTTTTTTTTTTTTACTATATAATATATACACATTGGCAAATAACTATACTAAAAAGTCCTAACACACAATTTTTTTCACCTGCGTTGCCTAATCTCTTAACCAAACAGAGATCAAGATTAGAGGTTATATTTAAAATTCTCTAATTGAAAGTTACTTTGAACTTGTGAAAAGCTGACCTTTTCCTGAGGTCAGTGTGAGAGACAGATAAGAGCTGGGAAAGGAACCTAATCATTTCATTTCATCTGGTTTATTCTCTCCAGTTGAAAACATTAACAAAACAAATGAAGAAGCGAATCCTGCATTTCAAATACTCAGTGCTCCACTGGCTCTTCCATATTCTAACCCACGCTCCCGCTAACCGAATTCCGAAATACTCACTCCTGATGTGTTGTGCAGAGTTGAGTAAGCCGTTCAAAATCGTCGCCGTTAAATCCCTTGTCTGAATTCCTTGCAGACGTGAGTGTATGTGGTTGTGCAGTTCTCCATTTTGTTTCTAAATGTAAAATGTTTGTTAGTCACTGTTACAAACCGTATTTCGGAGGGAAAATACAGTTAACCAGCGCTGCTGATAAAGATAAGCAGGCAAAGTTATATTTTCAAACAACCCAAAAGTTAATGCAATTAGAAATAGCTAAGTAATAACTTTTCAACGTTAAGTAAACACCAATTGCCTCAGAGACTAAGCTAACCGGGACAGGCCGGCAAAGGGATCAGAAGAAATGCAAAAAGTTGCAAGAGTTCTCTTCTTGGCATGGATATGAACAACAAAATAACAAAGAGAGATTTTTTCTCACAACAGACTTATGTCAAAAATGCTCCTTTCTTTGCAACATTAACTTGACAACAGAAACAGTTATTTCCTGACTTACAAATTCCAGTCAAATATGGTAACTTTTTAGACAGCAATTTGTTAGGTAACTGATACATAATTCCAAAGTCTGTGTTAGTCTACACTCACCCCATTGTTCTTGAATGGCAGAGAGATTTGCCAGCAACTGCTCATGATACAGACGTTCGAGCTGTATGAATTTCATCGCTTTTTCATCTGAATGGAAAGCTTGAGGAAAATAGACATCCAGACTATTTGCTTAAGTCCCATACTTGAAGAATAACATCCTATATAAATTGAGAAATCTGAAGCATTCTGAAAAATGAGAGGACTTGAAATATTTTTAACTTTAAACAAATCTTACAGTTTCTCGGTTTTGAAGTGGGTACATTTTAATGTAGCATCTTATGCAATAGCTACTTGGGTTCCATTCTATAAGCCAACAGTAGAAAGTCAAAGAAAACTTTGATGCTCCAGGAATGCCTGCTTGCTAATGTATGTCTGGCAGTCAATTAAATGTAATTTAAGTGGAAATGGGACCCATGTGGAATCCTGCAATCTGTTTCCTTAAATTACTTTCTGTCGAGCAACTGTCACCCTCTTGCCAGCCTGTTTCTGATTTCAGCACACCTTGATCCTTTACTGATTTCTCACTGAATGCTTTTCTGCCACAAAACCAAAGGGTCACATACCCAACAAGGACAGAGACAAATATGACATGGACCTTTTGTAAAACATTAATGAACTTGCCACAATAATTTTCATAATTACATGATTCCACCTTTTTGTAGAGATTCTTATAAACTTCTGCCACCTCCATCTGCATTACATATTTAGCATCAGATGAGGTCATGAAAAATCGCCCAACTGTCTACCTTCCTTTGGGCCATGTTCTAAATGTTGACCCAGAAAGAAGGAAGAGAAAAACTCGCCGTTTAGTTTTCTGTCCTTTGCAAGATCACTCAGAGGTTCAGTTCTCTCTCTCATTTGTAGACTTAAAAGATACGCCAGGGATCACAAAATAGGCCAGGAAGAGGCAGGGACAATGAATTCCATTGTCCTCTGCCCATGGCTTAAAGTATACCAATATTTGTCCCTTGACTGAACATAAAAATTATCTGACAAATTTGCTAAAGTACAGATTCGTGGGTTTGATCTCCAGAAATTCTGATTCCAAGGCCCACGAATTTTCATTTCTAAGAAGCTCCCAGAGGCAATGATGTTGGTCAGCACTGTGCTACATCAGACTCTTCTTCAGCTGGAAAAAAAAAAAAAAGGCAGGCATTCCAGCATCATTTCCACCAGATCTGGGCTTTCTACATACTCAGTAATAGACTGAAGATGTCACTGGCTTGCTCGACGGAGTTCAGGGTGATAACTACCTATCTCTCCATCTGCTCCAAGCTGTGGTGGAAGTCAACAAGGTTAGGTGGGGGAAAAAAAGTCACCCAACTGGGGAAAAACAGATGTTTATGATACATTCTTTCTAGAGAGTATATATATTGAGCCATCCCTCAAAAACAAGAGTCACACTTAAAGAGGGAAACTGAAAAACGGAGGGAAGGATCTTTCCTACACGAGACCTACCATATGGCCACCCCTGACCTTGATTCTGTCTATCAGGAGTGACAAAGGCAATCTCCCCTCTGCAGGCAGACGTAGGACGGCTGCGAGACGCACCCTGTGCAGTGCTCTGCTGCGAGAATGTGAGCTGACTCGTGCCTCTGCTCAGCTCAGAAGGAAGACAACGCAATCGAGTTTTAAATTAAAGTTTTCAGCAATGTCCTCCCCCACTCCGGAAACACACAAATATTTAGATTCTGGTAAAGTCAGGGCTCGTTTATTGGAGGCCAAACTTGGTTAGTTCTAGAGAATTTTCTAGAGCGACAGAGATACCCTACATCTCACTTTCTGAGTTGATTACCCACTGAAAATGACAGATCTATACATTTTATTGTATGTAAATCTCAGTTTTTAAAGATGGCCAGTTTTCTAAGCGTTCTGTGAATGTCTTCCCAGAATTAAGAAAAGGATACAGTCCTCCTCCTGGAAATAGGACTCAGCCATCTGTTAAAAATAAATAAAAAACAATACATTAAATTAACATCTGGATGAAAAGTCGAGTTTGGAAGAAATCAAGACCCTGAAACTCTGCAAGTCTTTAATAGCAAACCAAGAGAACCTTTAAACTGCATTTCCCAGGTCATGAGAAATCTGACTGTAGGCACAGGACACATGGCTCCCATACTTTTATTTTTTGTTATTATTTTTACAATATTTCAATCATACTTTTTCCATTACTATTCATGCCCCCACACCCTCTTCCACCTGAGCTCATTTGCTACATAAAAGAAGTTAGCGACTGTTTGAGGTACAGATCCACTGTCCAAGGGTGGCCTCTAGCCAGTAACTCAAGTTTCCCAGCACCCCGGTCCCCAAGGCCACCTGCTCCAGGGCTCACTAACGACCTGACCTGCCCTGACCTGCGGGGTAGAAGCCATGGCACAGGCCTGGACTGCAGGTAGGTCAGCGCTACCTCTGGGCCCGGAGTTCCAGGGAGGCAGGAAGGGAAGGGTCTAACGCGGCACCTGATGCAGGCAGAGCGGGAGTGCGCGCGAGTCCAGCTGCTCCGAGTCCAGCTGCTCCGCTTCACCGCGCAGGAGTGAGAACAGGGGTCGCAGCGCCAGCTTCGCGGCTGCCGGCGGGTCGGCGGCGTGTCCTTCCGCGGACTCTGCATCACTGAGAGCGCGTGTGACTGCACGCAGCACGTTTTCTTGCGTGAGAGGCGTGGCATCTCCTGAAGCCAGTCCTTAAAGAAGTAAATACAATGCTCACGTTAGGATCAAGTCCCACCGCGGTGGCACATCTTAAAAAAGTGTGTCTGTTATCAATAAAAGTCACAAATAAAACTAATTATATGACAAAGCCCCCAGAAGCCACAGTGAGGACTGTGCTGACATCTGATTGCTTCTGTTGGCACACACACAAACCAACTTTTGCAGGATTATAATTAAAAGTATTAACAAAATGAGATCTAAATGAGAAGTAGGCAGGTTAAGACCTGACCAAAGACTTGACTCCCCCAAAGGAAAGAACGGATTAGTTATAATCTGAAGCCTGAGCTTTGCCCCAGATGAAACAGAACTCAACAGGAAGACAAATGGGTTTATCCTATGACATTGCTGGCTACTGAGGTCAACTTTTCCTCCGTAAACTCTGGTCTGTTAACTTTAGAACTACTTCTGGATCCCAGAAGAGCAGACGTGCCAGAGCTAAGGGCCACAGAAATATTTTTCCTAATAAGAAGAAGTTAAGTAATACAAACTTCCAAAAAAAAAATCACTAGTAAATACATGCTCGGCCCACAGCTCCTCAAATGATGCATGAGATTATAAAAAAGTTAGCTATTACTCATTATAACTTCCACCTCCACTAAAAACCTCAGTATCAGTTCCAGTCCTCACATTCGGATTGACAGACTGCCGGACTCTGCACAGGCCTTCAGCTGGTCGGCCTCAGAAAGGCCCTTCCTCAGCAATTCGTGTGTGTTCGCCACGGCTGTGTCCAGGGCCCTGCTTTACCGCCTTCCAAACAAACCCACAGCTCTGGCCAGACCGGTCAACCCTTCATCATGCACACACAGCGGAACGCATGCTGCGACATGGATGGGCCCTGAAGACATCCTGGGTGAAAAAGCCGGTCACAACAGGACAAACATCCTACGACTGCACTCACACGAAGTATCTAGAACAGGCAAATTCAAACAGACACAGGACAACACAGGTTTCCAGGGGCCCAGGGAAGGAAGATGGAGAGTTTGTTGCTTAATTCTTACAGAGTCGCCGTTTGGGGTGATACAAGTTTTGGAAATAGATAGTGGTGGTGGTTACACAGTGTGTAGTTAGTATCACTGAACTGTACCCCTAAACTGGCAAATTTATGCATGGACTTTGCTGCAATAAGAAAACAGAACAAAATGCCTTCACGTCCATGATTTCACGTGATGCATCGTTGAGCCACCGCACGCCCGAGTTCCTCGCACCATCTTCCTCGTTCGCGCTGATGCGCGTCTTGGCTATAATTCCGGGAGATGGGTCAGAAACAAGTGTTAACACACGGTTTATGTAGTTCCTACGCTGGACACTCTGTCCGTGGGTTCTTAGGCTTAAAAGCAGGTAATCCTGTGGGCAATGACACTTTTTTTTTTTAATCACAGCATTTGGAGCTGTTCCCTCAAGTTCCACCACTCTGTAGAGTGCGCTCCTGGCTGTGTCTAATTCACATTGAAGGCACGATTCGTACATATCAGCATCGCTGGGATTTACATTTTGTCTATGCCAACCAGCACCGATGTTTTGGATCCTCTTAGGGGTGTGATCGGACATTTTATACTTTAACATGTTTTATTACATATTAAAAATATGCAAGGGATTTCCCTAAGCATGCAATTAATTCTGCTAATTTTTAAACTTCTTACCCAGGTCTACAGGCAACTGGGGTATCAAAGTTTCCAATGCAATTAATAATTGTTTTCCCACTAGGGGTACACTAACAGCTTTGCTAGTATCAAAATGGCTAAATTGTTACCATATTTCCCAGTTCATTCCAAGCACACTGAGTTCATCAGCTATCATGTAAATATTCCTTGGTTCTCCACGAACAATAACATTGTCAAATTTTATGTGACTGTATGTAAATGATATGATCTTCTTATAAGCCTGAACATGCAAATATTTCATATCTCTAACCAATAGAGAGGCACATATTTAAAGCTGCCTATGAAGGTTCTACGGTAGAAGCCAGCTACGTAAAATGCGAATCTGCCTCGAGGATTCAGACCCACAGCGTTGCCAGTTATTACTTCAGATATCAGTTAACACACCAGCGGGCATGACTAGCAGGCACTGAAGATGTGTTTTCAGGAAGATACTTCGGGGGAGAGAAGGGCAGGGATAGGGAAATCTAAAATGCGCGTATGACAAAGATCCCAGAAGAAAGATACTGACAAAGAGGTATGGTGGATGTAGTCACGTGAAACAAATGTCTTAATTTTGCTGAATGCTGCTCCTCGCTGTGCCACTTAATAATCCGGTGACACACACACAGGTGACAACCATCAATTTTCTGTCGGGCACTTTACAGTTGCTCATTTTAAGGACAATGCTGCCAGACAGGGAGGCTCTGCACTCCCGCAGAGAGGAAAGAGGCTCCAGGAAATGAGTCACTACTTTTCCAGGGTCACTAAGGTAGGAACAGGTAGGGCCACTATTCAAAACCAAAGTCTCAGTTCTTCTCACCGCCCAAGCCTGACTGCAGGATACGAATCCATTTCCAAGGTTTGTTCCCCTCCAGCCTGCAGACCCTCTTGGTCGCCTCCCAGCGGCCACACTGCCAAGGACTCCAGCGGAACCAGTCTGGGCACTGAATAGCAGCCAAGTCCGCCTGGAAGGGTCTTCCTTTTTCAGTTTCTGCCTGCTGCCTGTCTTTGGCTTCCTGCCACTGGCTGAACGGTTCTGTCAAATGTTTAGATGCCATGGTGACCGAGTGAGTAACTGAAGTGCGCTGCCTGCCGACCATCAGGCACTTAATCCGAACTTGTATCTCATGACCCTGTAACATTTATGCCCCAGCTGTTGCCAGGGGATGGGGTGGGGGGGGAGTGGGGAGTGAATGCTAATGGGTTTGGGGCTTCTGTTTTGGGGGGATGAACTATTCTAGAATTAGATGGTTGTGCAACTTTGTGAATATACTAAAACCACTACATTGTACACTTTATAACGGTGAATTTTATGGCATGCAAATTACATCTAAATTAAAAAGAAACTGTGGCTAACACCGGAAGAGTCAGCTATTACCAAAGATTGGAGAAATGTGGAGAAATTACAACCTTCACATATTGCTGGTGGGAATGTAAAATGGGGTAGCCACTTCTGAAAACAGTTTGACAGGTGCTTCAAAAAGTGAGTTACTTTATGATCCAGTAATTCTACTCCTGTGCATGCATAACCCCTTCAAAGGGAAACACATGTCCCCACAAAAACTTGTACACACATGTTCTAGGAGCATTATTCATAACAGCCAAAAAGGAGAACTAGCCCAAATACCCAGCACGAAGCGTGATACGTGCTTGCAGTGGAGTATTTGACCACGGAAGGGATAAAGTACCGATACACGCTACAACATGGGCGGATCTTGAAAGAATCACGCTACGTGAAAGAAGCCAGTCCCTAACGACCGTGCGTCGTGAGGTTCCGTGTACGTGAAATGTGCAGAGCGGGCAAGTCCAAGGAGGAAGGAAGTGGATCCTCGGTGGCCGGAGCTGGACGGCTGCGGGGATGGAGGGGGCTGTGGGCGGGCGCGGGCTTTTGTGTGCAGCGAGCAAAGCGCCCACACGAGGACCGGGGTGACGGTCGCACAGCTCTTGGCTAAAAGTGGCTGAACTGTACACTGAAGTGGGTGAATTCTACGGCATGTGAATTATACCTCAATAAAACTATTAGAATTGATAGGCTAATTTTCATCAATTTTTGGAATCTTACCTAAAACGATGCCAGTGAAAACTTGATGTGATGCAGCCTGTATGTAGCCCTGCATTACATGAAGGGGGTTCAATTTTCTTAAGGAAATAAAGCTTATAATGTAATGACAACTGGACTTATGTGAGGCCAAGTTCAAGGTTTTAGCAGGTTTATAGAAATGTTGTCTTATAAATAGTGACATGTCTCCTAATAAATACTACTGCTGTTCTATTTTTTCTTTCTTTCTTTTTTTTTTTTTTACAATGATAGCTTTGGGATGCTGAAAAAAAGTACTATAAATTATAAACTAGGTAAGGGAGCATAAGCGTGAATAAATTTACCTTAATATAGGTTTCTAAAAACGTATCGAGAGAGCACTTACCTGCCACAAACATTTCTGGCTTGGGATTGAATGTCCTGTTTTATGTGTCATTTCATATTTTAGAAACTGTTCTGTTATTAAAAAAAAGCTCATCTGCAAAATTTTGAAACTGTACTTACTTAGGATCCTAAAACCTCACGGTCAGAGGGGAGGTGGGAGGGGAAAATGGGGGGAAAGGGGAGAAGGGTTTTCAGGAACAATGTTATGAAGGACACATGGATAAGACCAGGGCGGGGGGTGGCATCAGGGGAGGGAGGTGGGGAAGGCTGGGGTGTGGGGGGAGTGGTGGGGGGCAGATGCAGACAATTGTACTTGAACAAGATACTTTTAAAAAACCTCACGGGAAGGAGGAGAGCCAATGCGCCCGTGTCGAGCACAGACTGTCCGCTTTGCTGGTTTGGGTGCACAGAACGGGCTGTGGAGGAACAAGGTGCGAGACACCTTTAGGGGCTTTCGCAGGACTCCAGCTGAAGATCGTGATGCGGCATCAACCCCGCCCCCCACCCTGCAGTGGAGACGGAGGGGGCAGGCCAGCCAGAGGGGGCGCAGGGAGACACACGCACTCACTCAGAGCTGGTGACCGGTGTGCACCGACAGGGGACAGGCTCCAGGGCCTCTCAGGGTAAACCGAGGGAAGCTTGCAGGCAGTCCCAAGGCTTCCCATTCTAGGCCCCTTTCAGGTCACAGGGGGATAATTCCAGCCTCAAAAACATCCTTTCCTTCAGTTAAAAATTCTTCTGCCCACTCCGACGTCTTTTAATTTAACAAAACTTCAAGTGCAAATAAAAATGTACCCCTTACACGCAAACAACTCTACAGATATGCTAGAGGTGAATCCCCCAACTTTGACTGTAGATGATGCCATTTCTATTCGGAAATCTAAAAAATCACTGCTCAGAAGGGCATTTCATAGACACATGCAGGTGGACACCATCATTACACAGGTGAGGACACTGCATGTACAGACACATGCGGGTGGACACCATCATTACACAGGTGAGGACACTGCATGTACAGACACATGCGGGTGGACACCATCATTACACAGGTGAGGACACTGCATGTACAGACACATGCGGGTGGACACCATCATTACACAGGTGAGGACACTGCATGTACAGACACATGTGGGTGGACACCATCATTACACAGGTGAGGACACTGCATGTACAGATACATGTGGGTAGACACCATCATTACACAGGTGAGGAAACTGAAGTACAGAATAATCAGGTCTCCACCAAGTGGCCTAGAACCAGAAGTAAGATTTAAACTTAGGTTTCACAACAACTCTTAATTCAGTTTCTTACACCCTGAAACTCATTTTACATAAGATACATAAGTTTAAAAATAATCAGTGTAAAGACTATACCTAAGTTTTAGAAATCATATCAATGAAATGCACCAGGGGAGGGTCATTCTACATATACCTGCTCACCGGCAGCAAGGATGACCCACTCTAAACCCCACAGTCACCCCTTGGGAAACCGGAATAAGGTCACGGAAGGGAGGAATACAAGGAGCTGTATGTAGTCTGGACGCTGTCGCTGACCCTATGCATATGGAACCAGGTCTCAGTTCTTAAAAACATCACGTGATCAGGTCAGAGAGGCACGACCGACCCTTGAGCCACAAAGAATAAATCAACTTATATACAAACAGTATTGTATATATCGTGTGCTAATTTAGATCTTTCAGAAAAATGCTTTCATATCTCTTGCCAAGATCATTTTAATTTGCTTTTAAGCCTAAGGAAAATCAAAGACAAAGGGATTAATTACTAAAAAGTCAAATTAGGAGTTACATTAAAAAGTTATCAAGTTGCTTTCTAGAATAAACAAGGATTGATTTGTATAAACTACAAAGTTGCATTTTTACTCCAAATAAAAAATACAAATAAAATCAAGATACGGACGGACCGACTGAATCTTTAATCAGCCAAAACAGCAGAAGCGAGGAGAAGGGGAGTGGAGACAGTGCTTCAGTCGCTGGAGCTGATGTCTGGGGGAGGCGGTGCTGTACTAAGGAGGCCCGGGGTAGGACGCGCCGAACGCTCTGTCCCGTGTTTCTGATCAAAAATGGCCAGAGGCTGCCTTTCCCCAAGGCTGACCTCCCATTCAGGCGAAACTGTCCGTGGACCAAAACTCTAACGGCCAAACCACATACCCAATAAAAAAATACTCTGAATTACTTTGTAACCAAAGTGATTACGCATAATGAAAGCTTGACATCTTATTCAACCTTACATGTTAATGTCCATTGTTCACCTATTGGGTGCGACGCAGAGATTCTATAAAGAGGCTGAGTAAGACTGTGCCAGCACCATAAACTCCCAGGTTAAAGATCAAAGTCACAGTGATGACAGGTACAAAGAGTGTCAATAGATGATGGTACACCCACACAGTGGAACGCTACGGAGACATGCCGCGTGCACGGCGTATCGCACAGCTGGGCTGTCGTAAGCTCCGGAATAAGAGAAGAAAAGCAAGATGCAGGACAGGATCCACAGTATGGGATGGGAGGAACACTTATTTTTAAGCAACAGCATAAATAGTAATTAAGACAAAATACCTGGGGGTATTATCTTCTTAGCAGTGCCTCCTTTGCTTCTTGAACTTCTCCTTCCAGGTATTTTCTTGTCCTTCTCCAGCCAGTCCTGCCCGTCGCTGGGGCCCTCCCGGGGAGTGTTCTCCGAGCTCTCCCTCGCAGCCACCTCACAGCTTGGGGTGCAGCTGTCGTTATTGTTGAGACTGTCCTGCTCAGTCACTTCGGGTCTGCCCATCGTGCTGTCACTGCCGGTCAGACACTCGTGCCCGTCCCTGCCAAGCTGGTTTTCATTCTCGTCTGATGCAGAAGGCAAGCGTGTCACCGCACTTTCCACACTGTCCCCAGGACGACAGCCATCTTGTGGTTCTACCTGAAGATTATATGCAGGCGTCTCGCAGTCATCCATTGGGGCATCTTCTGTTGAATCGTTTACGTTTCATTGAAGTCCTTCCATGTCTACAACGACAGAGAGAGAAAGGCGACGTCACTTCCTGAATTCTGGATGCTCGGGGAGCTCTCACTTCCCTCTTCTCTTGGGATGTTGGGCGGTAAGCACAGGAGCTCACGCCCGCTGCCTCTCCCCGACCTTGCAAGCCCACCCCATCTCCCTTTGCCCAGTCCTCATTTGAACCCAATGGTTCTCAACCCTGGCTGCAGGTTTCTTACCTGTGGAGCGTGTCAAATTCTATACATCATCTATTAAGTCTGAATCCTGGTGGATCACGCCCAGAGACTATGCTATGCATTTTTAAGTTTTCTAGGTGAGTCTCGTGGGCAAAACGTTGGGACCACAGCCTCAATGAAAGAGATTACTGGGTAAAGGAGGTAATTTCAATCTAAAACCAAACCACTCATGTCAGATCTGGACCCTTACTTAACCAGACAAGGGAAACTTGGCCGTTTACATGCTTATCTGGCCAAACACCAGAAATATTTGGAAATGGAAGCATTTAAATATATATATTTAAAGGGCATATGGGTAAAAAATTCAGGTAGCATATGTTTATACTATATTCTCATTACATCTTTTACTTCCTGAAAATAAGCCTTGGATAAGTACCTTAGAATTCTTAGCAAATTCCTTTTCTACAATTAAAAAAAAGAGGGCCATGATTACTTTTAGGCTATCTAGTTGAAACTTGAAAAACTCTAAATCTGTTTCAAGGATCCTGCTAACATTTTAAAGATCTACAAAATAGATTACAAGTCCTTTATCAGTCGTATTTTATCCCCTCTGTTAAAAAAGCACATTACATTTTAAGGGAAATGATGTCAGTCAGATTTAGATTTATTTTTATGCTTGCCAAGCAGTATTTTGGGTTTGAATCAAATATATCCTAGTAATTCTTGAAAAACCTAAATAATAGAACTTTTAAAATTCTTCTAATTAACAAACAGAAATGCTTACTCTTTAGATATGTAAAATACAATAAAAAAAGATTTTATTTATTTATTTATTTTAGAGAGGGAAGAAAGGGAGAAAGAGAGACAGAGAGAAACATCAATGTGCGGTTGCTGGGTGCCATGGCTTGCAACCCAGGCATGTGCCCTGACTGGGAATCGAACCTGCGATGCTTTGTTTCGCAGCCCGCACTCAATCCACTGAGCTAAGCCAGCCAGAATAAAATACAATTCTTTAAAAATATGAAAAGGAAGTATAAAATATATCATCAACTCCACAATGATTGTATCATATGCTTCCAACATATTTTGCAACTGGAATACTTTGATTCAGAGACATAAAAGTACTGCTGGTCAAACATAAAAATATCTACTAAATCTGGCTGGTATCACCTTCCTTAAAATATATCCTACATATCTCTACCGATAACTATGTAATATAAAAAGTACAATGATTTAACTTGGCTGGAAGAACTTAGTGTAGACTGAAAAGAAATTCTAAATAGCGTATAATTTTTAATTTAAAAACAGTTTTAATGAGGTCTTCAACATCATTATCAAGAGCAATTTCAAACTCAAATACTTTTAAAGCGTATGTGGCGAAAATAGTGGAGACAACTCAAAAGCCCACTAACGAACAGGAAAATAAAATGCGACATATTCATGCAATGAAACATTATTCAGCCGCAAGAAGGAATAAAGTTCTGACAAATGCCACGACATGGATGAACTCTGAAAACGTCATGCTAAGTTAAACAGGCCAAAACACAGAAGGAAAAATGCTGTGTGATTTCACACACTTGAAGACCTATAGCAGGCAAATTCCTGGAGACAGAAGATGGGGTAGGAGTTACCAGGAGCTGAGGGCAGGGGCCAGAGGGAGTCACTGCTTAACGGTGGCAGAGTTTTGCCTTAGGGCGACAAAAAAGACCTGGAAACAGTGGTGATGGCCGCAGGACAGTGTGAATGTAATTAATGCCACTGAACTGCATACTTAGTAACTGTTAAAAAATGGCATATTTTATGTTATATATATTTATTCTGTTAACTTTTTTCCTTTTCTTTCTCTGTTACATATATTTTGTCACAATAAAAATAGTAAGACGACATTTACATTGCTATATAGAACAAACATCAGTTCCTTAAAACAGGTAACAGCTGCAGTTAACTTTCTAATTTAAATAATCAAGGCATAGTCTGCATGTATTTGCAGCTGAAACATATAAAGGTTTCCTTTTACCCCAAAGAGACACCAAGGTCACATGCCGAGGGGGACACTGAGAAGTGGAAAGCAGTCTAGAGAGGCCCAAACTGTAACAATCACGTCACCGGAGTCACTTTCATGCATTAGCAACCGCGCCAGGTACTTTGGCGCCTTATTTCTAATCCCCCAAACGGGTCTACATGGGAATTGCTCATTCTGTGTTTTAGATGGAGGCTCTGAGGCCCGAAGAGGCAAAAGCCACTCGTTTAGGATCACGCTCCCGGAAAGAAGTGGAACTGGACCTGAAACCAGGCCTCCCCGCTCTGAGTCCGGGGCAGCACAGGGGCTGAGGGCGGGCGGAGGTGGCCCAGGCTCACACTCTGCCTCTGCTGTGGGACAGCTGCGTGCGACCTCAGGAAGTCACCTAGCACCTCCAAGTTTTACTTTTCTGGTTTGTAAACATGGAGAATTTGAATACCTACCCTGAAGAGTCATGTTGGAGGCTTAGCCAACAGGGCAAGTAAAGCACTTCGCGCGGTGCTTGGCCCACGGTCAACGCTCAATGAAAGTTAGCCACTGTCACTTCTGAAATAACCTCCGGGTTGGCATGAAACACTGCTGGGTTTACTCAGGCAGGTCCGTAGCCTCCCTGCAGGTTCTGAAACAGCAGGTTCCCAAACCTCCCAGGGATGGTCAGTTTTTGAGAGCTCGTTTGGAGGTTCCAGCAGGGGAGCGCAGCTACTGGTATACCCTTGACCGAAGGCCGGTCCTCTGCTGTATTTGAAAAGGTTATCCTCTCCGACGGAGTGCGCGGCTTTGGGAGGGAGGGAGGCATGTGTATGGGTGTGGGAGGAAGGGGACCACGCCCAGCCAGCCACATCAGCCAAAGCCACCATGGCAATCAATGGGGTGACAGGGTCACACCCAGATCGCCCTCACACCCAGGAACGATTAGTTCTTGATGATAATCAGCACCACTTGAGAATGCTGCGAAGTATGATGATGGAGATATCGGAGTTACTTTCTGGAATGTTGAGGCGTCTGTTCTGCGCACCCCATTTCACATGATTCAGAGAGCTGGAAATGAGTGATCAAGGCCCCTGCGTGGGGATAAAATTACGGGTCACATTCGCAGCTTTGCTGTGTCATGTGCTGGGTAAAACCCTTCAGACCAATACTTTCATTCAATGCTCCCGATTCCTTGGCAGAGAGGTAACTTTAGTCCCATTCCACTCATGAGGAGACCAAGCATCATATCTTGGCAAGAGTCACAGAGCTAGCAAGTTTGGAGACAGAACTTGAATGAGTTTTGGTCCCGAGACTTATGGACATTGTGCTCTACGGACAGGGGGGAGAGAGTAAATGAAAGGGCATTATTTCCCTCCCGCTGAGGTATATACGCCAATGAAGAATCTCTACTGTACCGCAGAGGACAGACACATCTCCAATGACCAAGAAGTTCAAGTTCCTGCAAGTTCTCTCTTTCCCTGGCAAGTACGGGATCCACAGGATACACCATTTCCTATATAGCCTATCTTCTGTTGAGAATTATTAAAAACAACAACACTAATTACTACTTAAGTTAAGTAGCTATGACCAGTAAAGCAGGTGTTCCTTCCTTTGGGCTGCAAGACATCTTGCCGATCATTTTGTAATGACACAGTTTAATTCTCAAAAGGTAACTCTGTAAACGACTTTTTAATACTGACTCTTAGGGTCTTTCCAAGTGTCTTATAATTGTTCTTAGAAGACATCTACCAAATCTCTGAGCTGTGGCTCAAAAACCGCTCCAATTTGCTTACCCTGACTTCTCCGTTCCTGAAGACCCAGGATAACACCCCTCCACGGCCGTCTGGCCCCCACTCAGAGTCCTTCCCTATGTCGTGTGTTTTCGCATATGTGGCCGACTGGATGTGAGCCATCTGAATACCCACAACCCGGCCCCAGGTAATTTTTATTCTTCACAATGTCTAACCTTGGGCCTGGCACTTACCAATACATGAATGAGCAAGGGAACCCATGTTCTATTTTTCCTCTCTGAAAGGGAGAAAGGCAGGCCCGTGGGTTCGAGCCCCCCCCCACTCCTACTCCGAGAGGTAAAGGACCCTAGTATACAATATTTGTTGCATTCCTAACATGTTTCGATAGGAATATTTTAATTTAAGCAATGGGATAACTTCCTTAATGGGATTTCTAATCAGCATAGTCCTATTGCTTTGGAAACACTTATAGTTACTATTTTTATCTCTTCTTTCTCCTCTTTTCCTTTCCCTCAGTGCTACACCAACATTTTTTATCAGCATTAAAAAAAATTTTAAAATAGTATGAAAAATATGACAAACCATCAAAAGGGTGATGTTCTGGGACACCTGTATCTCACCATAAGAATCTTGGGCAAGGCAGAATCTCCAGCAGAAAGGGACCCCGCTGATATGCAGTATTTGAAAACATGCTAACATAGTACAGGAGCTGGAGTCAGAAGTGCAGTTGAAATCACCCTCAAGGGTACTGGCTGCATCTGAACTGTGTGCCTTTCTGCGAGAGCCCCCATGCCTACAACCAGTTCGCACAAAACCCAGCAGCCCTGCAGTCACTGCGCAGCACTGACTCGGGCATATTTTGCCTTTTAAAAGCATGACAGTGAGCGCGGCCCAAGTGTCCGCCCTCTCTGGCAGAACAGCATTCCAAATATGTCCACTGTGTAAAAGCTGTTTGACATGTTGGCTCATACGGCTGAAGAATGCCAGGCAAACATGTTGAAGAGAGGCTGATACAAAACTCGAAAAACCACAAAACTTCAAAAGCTTTAGTTAAACAGATAACAGAGTTATCAGAGTAACAAAAACTGTCG